AGTATTCGATTTTGAGTCATCACCTAGTAGGGATATCGATGCCGTGGTATCGATATCGAATCACCATCTAGCAGAGGTATCCGGAGATGGACTGGACAATTGGATCGGGATGGATTCAAACTTCATGCGGTATCACGAAGTCAAGAAGGCCGAGGTGGAGAAGGACCTCGACGGCCATGTGAGGTACGTGGACAATGCTGTTACGAGGCATACCTGCTTTGAGGTCTATGAGGAGCTTGCAAAATATCTCGTCCAGTGTTATCCGATGATCTTTCTGTTGGAAGGTACTACCCTGCACAACTGACCCGCGAACAGTTCCAATAATACCCTGCTAGTATGTGTCGTGATGCTTGATGCTACTGTAGGATATACTGACGCTCTGGAGGAACCCCAACGCAGGCTGTGCCACTTCCTTTCTCGTTCAGGATGATCTGGTCCAGGTGATCAAAAATGAAGCCAGTCCTATCGAGCGCAGGACCGTCCACCATACTACGGAGCTAGATGGCCAATATCATCTCGACGCAGCAGCTGTCTGTCGGCCCTGTTTGGCGATTTCGGGTGAAATTCAGCGTGTCGCTGGACACGCTGCATTCGAGGCTGGCGTATGCCTCACTACGTCGCAAAGTTGCAAAAGTCCATGAACCGGTTTCTCAAGGTATTGATGCCCGAACGGCCCGTCGAGCAAAATAACGTGCGCCATGCTAATCACCTCTGCAAGCGTACCGTGACTGATTGGATATTTCGCAGATCTTCATCCAGCTCGATGATAGCCTCCACTAGTCTCCCCGATGGAGGATCAGAACCGCACCGACGTTGCTTGCATACTGTCAACCTACCATGTGACGGAGCATGCGAAAACTATCAGTATGGGTTCAGCGTGGGCTACGGCACAGCTGAGGGTTGACCGTCGACGAGATCCATTTTCGATTTGAGCGACCTCACGACATCTACCCCGTTCGAGGGCCACTTTACTAACTGCACCTATTTCGAGCCGATCCGCCAGATCGTGAAAGGCCCTTTTATCTTACGGCGATTGGCCGAGGTGATTCGAAACTGCGATGTGACCGTGTCGGTATACAAGGGAAGGCCGATTGGGAGCATGTCCTGCTTCGTACTTGGATGAACAGGATTGGCTGCGGAGGTATATGTGTGGTCAGCAATTGGGCAGACAATTCCCGTCTTCATTGTATTTGGATGTGACATCGAATGTTCTGCGTCCCTTTGGACTGACTTGTGTCGTTGCTTTCACATATCTCCAATACTAGGGTTGATTTATAGTGTAAGCGGCAGAGAATACACCTAACGGCTTGGTACATAATCAAGAAAGCAGTTTGTATGGCTGGAACATTTCTAGCTAGGTAGGTCCGACCGCGTAGTAGCTGCTGGACGTTAATATAGGAGCAAAAAACAAAAAGGATTTGGGGTGAGCCGGGATTGAACCGGCGACCTTACGATTAAGTGACTAAAGTGAAACTTCAGTCGTACGCTACTCCCAGCTGAGCTATCACCCCATTTAATGGGATAGATGTGAGAAAATATAATTAAGAAGGCTTGCAAGTTGAAAGGGAAAAAATAAACTATTAAACTGCAAAAAGGAGAAGTGGGGTGAGCCGGGATTGAACCGGCGACCTTACGATTAAGTGACTGAGTTCAACTTCAGTCGTACGCTACTCCCAGCTGAGCTATCACCCCATTTGATGAGATAGATATGAGAAAATATAATTGAGAAGCCTGGGGGGGTTGAAAGGGAAAAATAACCATTAAACTGCAAAAAGGAAAATTGGGGTGAGCCGGGATTGAACCGGCGACCTTACGATTAAGTGACTAAAGTGAAACTTCAGTCGTACGCTACTCCCAGCTGAGCTATCACCCCATTTGATAGTTTAGCTCTGGATTTTTGTAACTAGGTGGCAGAATAAATCTACTGACTGAACTAATAACTCCATAACTAACTGGTCAAACTAGTTATTGATTTGTGCTCAAGGGGATGGTCTGATTCTACTATACCTCGAACTATCCCATGTCGTATGATCTGAATAAGTGGCAGTAACTGTTATTAGGCTATAGGCCTACCATGCTGTCAGCCTGTACTCAACCAAAATAATATGAAAATGGGAAAGAAGTAGGTATTTGGCATGTACCAAATCATCGAACTGAACCATCGCCCTGTTTGTTGGGATTCACATTCATTATAATACTATCTCTTGTTGACTGCCTAACCTAGTAGGTAATAGGTAGGTACTGATGATGCCGACTAACACCCCCTTCACAAGGTGAACCAATTATTATCCTCCAAGGACTCATGATAACTAAGAATTAACTCATACCTCAAGCCCTGCAGAATGTTCCAGAGTCTCTCAGGAACCGACTCATCCCAACAAACAGGAACCTCGCTTCCTTGTTGGCCTGATATTAGTGGCACACTATCTTCTCCAGTACTCCATTAATTGGGGTGGATAACATATAAATCATTCTCCGTCATCTGTGTGTTAGGGAGGTCTCTTTCTCTTCTGGCTTGGATCAGTCGCTCGTACATCCCCGATATGCTTTTGCCTTAGTCTCCTTAACACCACCTTCATAGTGGAAAAGATTGATTTCATAAGAGAGCTCTGTCGCACTGTGGGATCGTCCCTGGGGTCAAAGATTTCACTTGTGACGTTGTCCCAGAACTTTGACAGTACTGTTGAATTGACGGTTTCCCAATTCTCGACTGGCCTGAAATTTCGGTCTTTTCCTCTGCAGCCCTTGCATTTTAGTCGTGGAATGACGAAGCGATGCTCTTTTTCTATCGTCCATCGGGGGTAGCCACACAGTTTCGGGCTACTGCAACTCATACCTATTGTCTGGACAATTTTCGGTAACCCATCAAGTTCCTCTTCCGAGCGGCAAAGGAAGGAGTCGAAGTCCCCACGCCCGTTCTTGTTTGGGGGGTTTTCCAGAACTTTTCGGGTGCCTCTTATGTGCGGTTGCTAGGCCAGCCAATCTTGCAGCCAGACCTAATGCTTCCTCCTGTACCTTTGCTTGGATGGTTCTGTCAGGGACACCGTTCGTTGTAGTAACTGGTCTGGGCCGAAAAAACCACTGAGGGTGGTGCGTCCAAAACACGAAGCGTTTTAATGTTTTCCCATCTTCTTCTAGGTCCAAATAGAGCTTGACATCCTTATACTTCCCCCATAGGGGGAATCGAATCAGCCGACCTTGCTGTTTTACTTTCCTCCACACAACCTCGCCCCAACATATCTCGACGATAGCAGACGTGTTTTGACGCAGATCGCGAACGAAACCATCGTGGGGCTTTTGGACGTCATCTGTCCAGAGGTGAAGATAAAGTTGTGTCTCCTCTCTGCGGCAAATCTGGTCAAACATGAATGAATTCTGGGACGAGAATCCGTTGTGTAGTAGATAAATAGTTGGCTTGCCTGCGTTGTCGGTCTCATTGCAGTATGGGTCCGTGACATACAACGTTGGTTAAGGAGATGGTGGGCTAAGGGGGCAGCGATGGATCCACTGGGACGTAGGAGAAAGTGACGCTGGTCACTCAGTTCCACATTGTCTCCAAGCATTGGTCTCTTCATGAATGAACTCACTGAACTGCCCTTCAATTTCCCAGATGTGTTGTGGCCCTGCTTTTCCACCGCGGTTCAGCATATATCCAAAGACAAGAGATCTGATATGACGTACGGCGCGGAAGTTCCCTTTCAAGCGTCCGTATCAGGGGCATGAGTCGCAAGACTTCATACTCATCTTCATTCAGGAAATGGCTTGGATCCTCTAACTGAACATGTGCAAAAAATTGAAAGGGACGGGAATCTTGATCGTTCTCCATGGTGGGGTAGGCACATGAAGGGGATTGCTGTCAGTATAGGTCTGTTGGGTGAGGTCGTGGACAAGGAGTGATATGTATAGAGGTCAGAGGGGCAATAGGTGAGAAGGACAGGAAAGAGGAAGAGAAAAAAGGATAATGCAGGAGAAATAGAAAATGAGTGAATGGGTTTTGGGAATGGTGGTTGCCAGAGAGTTTGATGACTGCCTCGACACCAAGCGAGAGAATAAGGCCGCGTGAATTGCTCAGGCACACTGTGGGGGGGAATGACGGACTATGCACAATGTGAGGCCATCAAAAGACCTATAGAGAAAAGAACCCTGCGAATATGAAACTAGGCGCTACTGATGCTGAGCTTAGGCGCATGGTGTATCAATATTTTTGTATGAAAAGGAAGACGTAGTCGTAATATATACATAAGTACCTTTCATATCCACAGACAGAGACTCACGGTGCAGGTGTTACATAGCCACATAGCCTCCCCTGTACCCATATTACTACTAAGCCTCCTCAAAAACTGCCGCATCCCCCGGCATCAAAAAGCTTAGTTGCCAGACGTTGCCAGACACCCTGGGCCCTGTTATCTGCAGCAAAGGGCCACCAAAAAAGGACATCGGACCGCACGTATGTAGGCAATCAACTTGTTTCCTTACTAGATAACTTTGAGCCTCTGTTTGTATACTCGGTTCTCACTACTCCCTTGATTTAGGTATTTTGATGCTTTGTATCGGCCTCGTGCTGTACACTACCTACTTCTACATACCTACATTGTATTATGATGGAAAGCTGCGTATGTCCACCCTCACAAGACATTATCCCTCGTTCCCTTATCATTAAATGGGGTGATAGCTCAGCTGGGAGTAGCGTACGACTGAAGTACTCAGTCACTAAATCGTAAGGTCGCCGGTTCAATCCCGGCTCACCCCAATTCAGCCTTTTTTTCTTTTTTTTTGTTATATACTTTTTTTGTCCTGTTTCAATTTTACAGATTTATTTTTTTTCGCCGTCTCCTTTAATCACTGTTCTGTTCCACAATACCCTGTTATTGACACGACTATTCTTAAACGGTCAAGTAACGCATAAGCTCCCACCAATCACATGATGATTGGGAACATGGCGGAAGCCCATCTTTCGTCTAACTCATATATAATTAAAGCTGTCTAGCTTTCCACCAAATGGGGTGATAGCTCAGCTGGGAGTAGCGTACGACTGAAGTTGAACTCAGTCACTTAATCGTAAGGTCGCCGGTTCAATCCCGGCTCACCCCACTTCTTTTTGCCCTTTCTTTTTTATTGTCCTCTATTGTGTATACACAGCAATTCGCTTGATAAATGTACCAAGGTAAAAGGGGCCACCAGGAATATCTGCGCTAGGTATCAGCCCCCCTAGTTGATGTTTCAAAGGAGCAGACTTTCGCAGCGTTCAAGGTACTTCATCCTTCTCTATAGGTTGAATGATTCTTGTTCGTCCTACCTGACAGAGAAGCGCTCTCAAGTACGTCTCTACATGTTCAGCAAAGTATTCATTGAAGACCATACACAGTGAAGCGCCGACAACCATCCGGCGTCTGGGCAGGCGAACTAACCGAGGCTGGAAATTGACTAAGTCCTACACAAACTCTTTGGGCGGTTCTTTATTGGAATCAAGGTGGACTTAAGAGAGGCTGTGGAATATTTCTTATCCATGAATGTTTCAGATGCACAATCAGACTTAAGTCGTTTATATTTAGAAATCCGTCATGTACGGACCAGCGAGCTGATAAAGATCCATTTAGCCACCTATCAACACGGTAATAATAATACAAGCATTCAACATCTGGAGTCCAGAACGCATGACTTCAGCTTTGTGCCCTGTACTATTCTCACTCATACAGGCTGTTATTCCTGCGTCATGCCTTAGAGTCTTCTTATACTTCATGCCCCAGAATCCCGATGGGATAATGAACTGTCCTCCGATCGACAGGGCTGTTTGATTTGTTGTCCAGGCCTCATACGGGGCCGGCAATTGTTGATACCCGTGCAATTCCAACATGCAAAAATTAAACAGGGTTCTGTGCGCTGGTTTTTGTCTGCATTGACCAAGGCCTCCTGGCCGCTCAATTGCAGAAAACAAAGAGATGTACCGGTCAAGTCATGATGAAGGTGGTTGCTGGATCATGACACTTACGTTTATGAGTATGCATGAACGGGACTGGGATTGGGAAAACAGTTCTGATTCTCAAATAGCTAACATCGGGCTTCTTCGCTAGGCCAGGAGTCCTAGGAGCTGGGTACCTCTTACTGGGAATAGTGTATGTAGTAGGAGCATTTGAGGTTAGTCAGGATTCAGGAACGACCAACGTCGAGCAATGAGCGATCATTCAACAGTGGAGCCAGATTCTGCATTTCAAGAGTCGAAGTGGATAAGAGATTTTCAGTATGGAGTCAAATCTAAATGGGACCCGCTGCAGCGTGTGGGCTTGCATCTCGGGGGCACAGTGTGCCAAGGCGTTCAAGTGCAGTTTTTGGTACAAAACCTCCAACAGAAATAGTATACCAGAACGTAAAGCCGGGCTATGATCGATTATGATGACAGGAATCTTTGTGTGAGGAGATAGAAGGTTGAGAAGATAGTTGTTCCCTCCGTGCCCCTATGCCCCCGTGCCCTTGCGGAGAGAAGGGTTGTAACATGGTGCACCACTAGCCCATCTCTGATTAGGTCTCCGAGGCTATCTGTTTTTATACTCCTACCTCCGGACTTTTAGCAAGTATTTCTGCATGATCCAGGGACCGGACACCGCAGAAGAAAAAAAATATTCGAGGACGATGCCGAATGTGAAGCTGAAGGAATTATGAGTTTTGATACCATATCTAGAGACTGTTTATATAGCTGTTAGCTTTCTACTACATTAAAGCGAGACCAGATTTAGGCACTTTTTTCATTGAACTTGTCTCGTTTTCCAATATCTATTTGGACTTCGAAAGAGTAAATAGTGCTCAGGATCTAGGTTTACTGGGAGGATCGCAATGTCCATGGCTGGTGATATGACATACATAGGACCATCAGATTACCTGCACACTACCAAATATGTGCCTGTGTACGCGCCTGTAGCGTCATTAGCATACTTGCCAATGAAATATGCACATAAGATCGTGCTCCAATCAAAATAGTCATCAGCTCCTATTATTAAGTCGATATTTTCTACTATCATCACCGCAATAAGATCAATTACCACAATTCATATTTTCCTCAATTTCTTCGGAAGACTAGAATGTCTCAATCTCCTCCACTTTGGGAACATCAATCACCAATCAATGTCCTCAAATTGCCTTGGCTGCATCTTAGTGACCGCAATAACCTTGATAATTTACCCAAACAAATTACAGGACAACGACCTTCTGTACGGAGTACGGAGTACGATACCTTATCCATACATGGCGTGGGTCCAGATACCCAATCAAGGCTTGCTGCGTTTTTTTTTGCGTATACACCCAGGAGGCTCCGTCTATTACCAAGCAGTTCATGACTCTGTTCAGCTGCTTGCTACTGCAGGTGCTGTCTGGGCCTAGCGAACATGTACAAGTATCCATTCTGCAAACCATGTCCGGCAGTGACTAGTTACTATCTGGGTGGCTATCCAAATAGTGATTCAACGACACAGAGCGTCGCTGCATCAACGGTGTAGATACTACTATCCAACTATGCAATCAATTCAGCGCTGTCTACTGCTGATCCATCAAATCGATCGTCATCCCAAACAATACCTGAGTCAATATGAGTGCAGTAATCAGTCCACCTGAACGTGAAGCAAACCGAAGGGGAAATATTTAATGACACATTGAAGATAGACTTAAAACCTACGATGTCTGTTGGTGTAATGGATTGATTATATTACTGTTACCTACTCCGAGTAGAGTATGGAACTTCGTAGTGCTGGTGGTAGTCCGGAGTAGTGAGGTACGGGTTCCCCTTAACTGCTTGGTAAGTAACCATTTTATTGCTGTTGTTACCGGGGGTGTCATCTCCAGTCGACTTGTTTCCCCTACATTAACGTTATTATTTTCCTCCTTCCTTTAATCGAACTTTTCTTCGGGTTTTGTGACCCTTGAAGGCTACTCTGTAATAATAAATCCTTTCTCATCATAACCATACATAATTCTTGCTATCTTTGATACTCTCTTCTTCAGCACGTATACCCCTGCCTCGTTCAAAGCTCGAACCACAACTGCCCCGGGTCGAAACTTTCTTCTTCACTCGGTCGCTTCCGCCGTAACTCTCGCTCCACACCCAATCAACCCCCTCCTCCTGCAGCTCCCTCTCTCTCTCAACTCTTCCTCTGTCCGTTCCCTTCCTACCGCCGTCTTCCCGCCCCCTCTCCCGGTCATCCCAATCCGATCCCCTGGGATTTACAGAGCCGCCTCCTACGACACCGTTTCACATCCCACGCCAGCCTATTTCCTCAATTACCAAACCTCCCATCCCAGGGACCTCCTTTCCGATCGAAATGGCAGCCGATATGAGCGGCGAGCAGATGCAGGCCAAGATTACCGCGGCCAGGCGCGAAGCTGAAGGTCTTAAGGACAAAATCAAGCGCAGAAAAGATGAGCTGGCAGATACAACCCGTACGAATCCTTTAAACCATTACCTTTTGCAAACTTTCAATTCCTGGAATTGCAGCAGCTTCTTTACTGTCATTCCTTTTGCGAATATCTCCTGTTCCATTTCGGCTACTGACCCCCCTAAACAGTTCGTCAGGTTGCGCAGAACCAGACCGACACCCTACCTCGCATCGGAATGAAGCCTCGACGGACGCTCAAGGGCCACCTGGCCAAGATCTACGCCATGCACTGGTCAACTGACCGTCGTCATTTAGTGTCCGCCTCGCAGGACGGTAAATTGATTATCTGGGACGCCTACACCACCAACAAAGTCCATGCCATTCCTCTGAGATCATCGTGGGTGATGACCTGCGCCTATGCTCCAAGTGGTAACTATGTGGCGTGTGGAGGTCTTGACAACATCTGCTCTATCTACAACCTCTCCTCACGCGAAGGCCCGACCCGTGTCGCGCGGGAACTGTCGGGGCACTCGGGCTACCTCTCGTGCTGCCGTTTCATTAACGACCGTCGCATTATCACCTCCTCTGGTGACATGACATGCATGCTGTGGGATATTGAGTCAGGATCCAAGGTGACTGAGTTCGCGGATCACCTGGGAGATGTCATGTCGATCAGCATCAACCCCACGAACCAGAACATCTTTGTTTCCGGTGCCTGCGACGCTTTCGCCAAACTCTGGGATATCCGTACCGGAAAGGCTGTTCAGACTTTTGCCGGACACGAATCAGATATTAACGCCATTCAGTTCTTCCCTGACGGAAACGCTTTTGGAACAGGTTCTGATGACACCTCCTGCCGTCTTTTCGACATCCGTGCGGATCGGGAGTTGAACATCTACCAGGTAAACTTGTGTTCTTGTTCATGATTTCTACTGCGTTCATAGCTAATGAGACTCGCTTGCTGTAGAGCGATCAAATTCTCTGTGGCATCACGTCTGTTGCTTTCTCGGTGTCTGGACGATTGCTTTTCGCCGGTTATGATGACTTCGAGTGCAAGGTATGTGCACGGTACAATATTCATTGCAACAGGGGCGTGAACTGACGTTCGCAGGTCTGGGATGTTCTTCGAGGTGACAAGGTCGGTTCTTTGAGCGGCCACGAAAACCGTGTCAGCTGCCTTGGAGTCAGCAATGACGGCATCAGTTTGTGCACTGGATCCTGGGATTCTCTTGTAAGTGCCTTGAAAGCGTTAAAATCTCCCATTGTTATTCATTTTATTGTTTTTCTTGTCATCATTTCACAATTACTGATATTTCTTTTCGTGGTATAGCTCAAGGTTTGGGCCTGGTAAAAGAACAGAATCATCGAGCAAAGATACCCCGTCTCAGTCATTTGCGATTCCATCATTCGGCTACTTTTCTATTCATTTTCTGCAACAATAGGTTGGATGTCCGCCGTTGTACGATACATTTTCATATTTTTTGTTTTCCAAGAGCAATGTCCGCTTTTAATCTTCCATCCGGAACTACAAAGACGTTTGCGGGGAGCCGGACGGGTGAATCACTTGGACCTAGATCAAGGTGGTTGGGTACTTGATCGAGATATGGAACACTTCAGATGTTGGTCGTGGGGCCAAATTAATGAATCCGGAAATCTAGGTGACAACGTTCGATGGCTGATGTTGTGAGCGCGCTCATATGTTGTATTTGCTTTTCTTTTCTCTTTTGATGA